CATGGCTGGCGGAGCCGCAGCGAGTTGGGGTTTAAAAACTGATAATCAGCACGAAAATTACGAAGAACGTTGCAAAGAAAACGATGGCTATTAGTACAACGAATCCTCAAAAAGAGATGAGTGTAAATACGGACGGTGAGGACATAAAAAAAAGAAGGATGTGTCTTTCTCACTCCGACATTGAGGCAATGACAGATGAGAAGTTTGAGAAGAGGAAGGAGAAAAACCAGAATATTTTTGAAAGTATCTGTGCGAAGGCCTCGCTGATAGAGGATAGACCCAAGGAAGAGTTATTTGAGCATCCCGGCCCTATAAGAAAAAAGGTTAGGGAGCTTGAAGATGAGGAGTTATTAACTAGAGGAAAGTCATTTCTTTATGACCATCTCGCGGCCCCGTACAACGACGGGGAGCGGGACAAAGAGGCTGAGACTTACGCCTATGTCGTAGTGGAAGTGTTACAGGAGATGTATAAAAGACTATGTGGCTTGGATGACGATCTAGATGGAGCCCTCCGACGAAAGGAAGAATTAGAAAAGGAGGTAACCGAACTACGGTCTAAGGTAAAGGTTTTGGAGGATAAGTTGGTTACGGAAGAGAAGATTCGCTCTTCTGAACCAACTCCAATGGAAGTGGTTGTTCTGCCCAAGGATGCGGAGTCTAGGGAGAGATCTGTACATATAGAGGAATTACCAGGGAGAAAAGAAACGAATTTGGAGGCTCGCTTTACCTATATGAAACGGAAGTACTACTAAAGGAGGTGCTTTCATTAAAGAAAGCTAAGAAAATGATCCCGGTGACCGTGAGAGACAAACAAGGGACAGAGGTGTTTGACGGATGGGCAAAGGGGAGGTAAGATTACCCCTCCTTCTTTAGGGAGTGTTAAGAAAAATACCGGAAGAAGGGAAGAAATACGAGTCACCCGGCCCACCAAGCGCGTAGAAATGCGCGTTGGGGGGCTGGATAACTCCGCGACGTCTGCGGACGTAGCGAGGGCGCTGGCTCGTGCCGGTGGGTGCGGAGTCAACGAGATCCGCGTAGGAACAGTGCGGAAGTCACCGCGAGGCTTGAGCTCCGTTTGGACTCAGTGCTTGGTTGAGGCCGCAAATGCAGCGGTGAGGAGCGGCGGGGTCCTGGTTGAGTAGTGTAGGGCTCATGCCGAGGTGTTGCCACCCCGCCCCTTAAGGTGTTTCAAATGTCTACAAGTCGGACATGTCTGGCTGACATGCACCTCCCCTGTGGACCGTTCCGATATGTGTTATCGGTGCAAGGAAAGAGGCCACAGGGCCGGTCTTTGCTCTGCGGTTTCCCCGAGGTGTCCGCTGTGCGCAAACTTGGGGATGCCAGCTGAGCATCGGCTGGGGAAGGGGGTGTGCTAGCGCCAAGAAAGTGGAAGGACGAGGGCCGCCACAAGATCCGGGATGAAGTTTCCGGGCGGCGGTTTTTCCTCCCCCCACGCGGACATACTCCGCGGGAGAAGTGGACGGGCGACGGGGGGACGGGCCCTGAGCCTTAGGGCCCGTCCCCCCGTCGCCCGTCGGGCCAACCTCGGTCGGCGTGGGCTGTCCGGAAAGGGGGGGGGCTCGGGCGGATTTCCCATGGGGTCTGCGCCACAAGCGCTCTCCCCGAGCCGCGGAGGGTTGGGGCTAGGGCTCGGGGGTGGCGAAAAACGCTTCTGAGTCCTGGCCCCATCTGCCTTCTAAGCGAAGGCGCGAGGGAAGAAGCCTATTACTTCGGTGATGGTCACTCCTTCCCTTACTCGCCCGGGGGCGGGCGTGTAGTCGGGGATCGCCGCAATCCGCCCGTGCGAAAGCAACCCCGGAGGAAAGTAACGGGTAAGAGTGATGTCACCTACCCGCCACAAGTTAGTTAAACCCGACAGGGCACATGGCGTGGGAAGCCTCACAGACGGATCTTAGATGTTTTTCCGGGGCCTCCCCTACACAGCGCCGTGAGGGGCACCCAAAGAGGTTTTAGTTAATTAAAGTCCAACATAACCGCCCGCCCCGCCCCAGAGCGGGGGTATCCGTGTGGATTTCTGTTCGTAAAAAAAGCCCTCAACCCTCCCTCCCCAATAAGAGCAGCGAAGTTGGTGCTCGCAGCACCCCTACTTTTGCTGCCCCTTGCGACCACCCGTAACCGACGTTTTGTTCCCCGGAAAAAATCTCCCGGAAATCAGTTTCCGGAAAAAATCTCTCCGGAAAAAATCTCCCTATCAAAAAATCTCCCCCGGAAAAAATCTCTCCCGGAAAAAATCTCCCCCGGAAAATATCTCTCCCGGAAAAAATTTCCGTGCCCAGCAAAAACCGAGGTGCCACATGGGTTTACAACTTTCCACGTGTGAAAAGCCCACGCACGTACTTCGCAAGGCACACTATGTGTATAGTTTAATGATAGTGGAGCCCCCCGTAGGGGGGCGGAACCTACTGCCTCCACGCATAGTTCACGCAATAGTTCACGCATACACTTTCCACGCGAACCGAGGTTCACGCACACCCCCCCCCCCCGTGCTTTCGGGGGAGGTGCGGTAGTCCCGAAATAGTTCACGCATACACTTTCCACGCGAACCGTTCTCAAATCTTTCTCATTATCCGTGAAAAATTTCGACTGCAGCAAAGCATCGTACGCGTAAGTGACATCGCAGGAAGGAACGAATGCCACTGCGAATAACATTCGCAAATTACGAGCTACGCGGCTGCTCTCGCGGTACAATGGCGCAAGGTCGTGATCTTGTATACTACGCCAAAGTGCTTGACCGAAATGGAATAAACACTCTTTGATTTCACACTCGGGAAATTCTAGTAGTAGTCTAAACACAGTACAATCAGTTGACGGTTCCGAATAATAACATATACAAGCATCAAATAAAGTCGCACAGTTTAGTGTAACGGCTTTTAAAAATGCCATTTTAATTTGAAATACAGTAGTACTGGAATTTTAAATGGGGAGATTTTTTCCGGGGGAGATTTCTTCCGGGGGAGATTTTTTCCGGGGGAGATTTTTTCCGGGGAAGATTTCTTCCGGGGGAGACTTTTTCCGGGGGAGATTTTTTCCGGGGAGATATTCCCGGGAACTTATTTCCGGGGAGGATTTTTCCGGGGAGATTTCTTCCTAGAACCCGACCACCCAATCCGCGGCTTGGAGTTCCTCGTCGTTCTGCCTATCAAGTAGCTCTATCGCTTCTTTGACAGGCATGGGGTCCTCCACATGCACTACAACTCGATGTTGCCTAGGCAGTTTATCGAGTCGCAGCGCACGCAGCCGAACTTCGTCTAAATCTATTATCGAAGTTAGGCTCAAACTACCCTTCGGTTTCTGTATTGGTGCAGTTAAAGATAACTGCACCGTCCCTATCTGAGGTGCCCTTGAAGGTGGGAGCTTTAGTGCCCTTCGCAATGCCAAAGATACTACCCCTCACCTTTTCCTTCAAGAGAGCAGCTTCTTTGTCGTCCAGCCTACGTTCAGGATACTCCATAGGTACCATGGCCACCCTAACTCGGCCGAATGTTGTGTGGGCAAAAGTCCTCTGATCTACAGCGATCTTAGGCTTCTTGCCCAGCTGTGCAGTGTTGGAAGAACTGGCTGTGCTCTGTTCCGATTTGAGCCGCTTGCACGACCCAGCGGATGCTCGCTCCCCTGTCAAAAGCAGAGTTTCTGGAGCAGGCTTTTCAGCGCCGCTCCTCCTTTCCATCTGTTTCTGTTTTTTGTAACGACGGCGCGCCGCTCCACTAAACTTCCTATTCCCGTTATTACCAGCTTGTGATTGGGCCTTATCCGGCTCCTTCCCCAAACTGCCCGGTTTTTTTTGTAACGCGGGGGAAATTTCCATTTACTGGGATCCCAGACCCGTAAAGAGCCTGGTTTGCCCAGTAGCCCCCAAAGGGTAAGACCCCCTCGCCTCCGCGGCTCCGGAGAGAAGACGAGGGGAGTGTGGGATTCCACGTGCGCCCACCGCCCAAAGACGGCAAACGCGCGCAGCCTACCCACTAAAAACCCCCGCGAGTGGCCCGTTCTGGCGTTGTGGCGGATGCCTCAGAAACGAACTTAATCATGATTTCCGAGGCACCCGCCGCCCTGCGCTAGTTGCGCACCTTCCCTTTCCCGAAGGTTATGACCGGGGGGGTTTCCTGGTTGGAAATGATCTAACTGTGGCGGGGAGTGGCCACCAGTGGCTAGCCAGGGGCTGTTACCGGCTAAACTCGCCCAGCGTCGGATGGGCGAGCAGTTTCGGACCCCGAAGGCAAGACTTCGTGATCTTGTTGTCCGGAGCTCTCCCTTTCGGCTCCGAATTCCTCTCCCCCGAAGGGGAGAGGGAGTAGGGAGGGCGTTACTTTAAGGAGAAGGACGCGTTCTCTTCTCCTCGCCCCCTTATTTTCGATGCTATCCCACATCTCCCAACTGTTGGAGTGCAGAATCGGGGGGTCTCCGTCTACGACCGTGAGGAGGCAGTCCCCGCGGCCGCGCGAAAACTCCCCCGCCTCCATTGTCAGCCTGATCCGGCGCGGGTCGTTCCCCGCGGCGGATTTTTTCCGCTTCCTCCTTGGCGGCCATGACGGCGCCACAAAACTCCGCCATGGCTCGCCATTTTTCCTCTGCCTCGACCATCGCTGCCACTAGGGCCGGGAGGGACAGATCTTGCCCCATGTTTGTGCGGAGAACTCGGCGCTCTTCTGCCCACGCTGGACAGTGTGCCAGCATGCTGCGCCGAGTCCATATCTTCTCCGCAATGTGATGCCTTCCTTACCAATGCGACACAGGTACTCACCGAAGCAGCCGTGTTCGGTGAACACCTGTGTCATGTGAAACGTTAGTCCGCGTCCCCGCCTGTTTGTCCATGCCTCCAGGCATGACCGAACGGCTTCGACGACCCTCCTGTCCGAAAACGCAGGGTTCTCGAGATAGTCTTGCCATTTGGCGAGGAGGGCCATCGCAGCTTCTTGGCGTATCGCCGCTTTGACTCTGGCCGCGATTATCACGCCCCCCGCCTGGACCTCCCGTGTTTGTCAGAAAACATTGGCGAATTTATCGACCAGAAGTTCGATGGGCGGAATCCCGGCCAGAGTCGAAGCTGCCGCGTGGGAGATGGTGCGATACCCTCTTACCGCCCTAATGGCCACCTGCCTCTGCACCTTGCGCATGGGTGCTCTTAGGCGCTCGGTAGCCATCATTTTCGGGGCCCAGATCGGTGCCCCGTATAGGGCGATCAAATGCACTACTCCCACGTAGAGTCGGCAAGCCCTGTTGCCTACCCCTTTGAGATTGGACATAAGGCGACAGAGGATGTTTGCCACCGCCTTAGCCCTGGGGGCAACGCTGACTATGTGCTCGCCGAAACTCCATGTACAGTCCAGCCAGAGACCAAGTAGTTTGATCTTGGTCCCTATGGGGACGCGGACGCCATCTACCGAAAGGGCTATTCCCTCGGGTGGCTTCCCCCTCAGGCGGTAGAAGAAGGCCGCCTGATTTTTTTGTGGAGCCACCTTTAACCCAAGGCTCTTTATGGCGCGCACCACGCAGACCCCCTATGTTGGCCAGTAACCTGGCCTACTCCCAGGTTTCCCCCTCAACTCCCAAGAAAGTGTCATCGGCGTATCCGGTGACCCAGGAGGGGAAGGGCAAGCCGTAGTACGGAGTCGTACCAGAGGAGCCACAATAACGGGCCTAATATTGAGCCTTGTGGTACTCCCCGGGTAATGAGTCTCACCTTCCACACACCAACTTTGTCCATATAGGCCACTCTCCTGTCCCTAAATTAGCTAAAAATGACCCGTATTAGAAAGGAAGGGACATTGTGATACTTGAGTGCCCTTCCTATTACGGGCCAAAGCAGGGTGTTAAAAGCATTAGTAATGTCAAAAGATGTACCAAGCAACACTCCGCCCTTTTCCCCGGAGTTTCCTGACGACTCGTTAGAGCTCCTTTTGAGTCACCCCCAGCTCCTCCTCGTTCTATTTGTCTGCACCGTTTTCTTCGGTGCGGAACTCTTGCTCCCAACCCACTTCCTCCGGTGGGAAGAGAGTCTGCACCACCTTGTCGAGGAACTGGGGATCGAGTGACTTTGTCGTAGGGGGCGCCCAAGGCCTAAGCTTATTCATAACCAGCCTATATGGGAGACCCCATGGATCCTCTTCTAACTACTGTGTTCAGTTGCCATTAAGACGGTCGGGTGACATAAAGATTCGCGAATGCAGGGACATCACGGACGTTCGCCTTGTTCTTGCGGCGGAGGAGACGACCGACAATATACATTTGACAAATATCTGAGGTGTTTGACCTTTTACATGTTACGACGGTTGCGAATTCTCAGTCCTTTTTAGTGTGACTTGATGCGTTAAAATTTAGGAAACGATTAAATTGGAATTATGCGGTTTGTTCTGAAGAAGGCCAACTAAGGCTCGAAACGTCGACGTTGTTTTTATATTGCGAACACATTCGTTGTTAAATTGGTTTTAATAAATATACACCTATTAATAGCACGTAATGTGGCCGTTTCTAATATTTAAATAATGAAAAATCTCTGTACAATTAGAGCTCGCAGGATAATGACAATCAAAACGCGAGCAAAGCTCGAGTTTAATCAGAAATAAAAAACGAGCACAAGTACATCTAGAGCGAATATAAATAGTCCCATTATTTTTGTATAGACTATTTATTAAATTAAATTTTTATATATTTAAGAGAGAGTTTTTTTTAGATGTTATAAATAAAAATAAGAGAAATAGGATCGTAACGATATACAATCAATTAGAATCAAAAGCCATGCGATCCAAGCTTAGGTCTTTGACAGCCTTATATTAGTTACTGTATACATATATGTCTATATATATACATATAATTTTTCCAACAAAATTTATTGCGAAAATTATTTGGTACGACGCCCTACACGGAATGAGGGAGGTTCCAGGTTCGAACCCTGGCTGAGGTAATATTTTTCGCAATAAATTTTCTTTACAGTTTTTAGATAATTAAATCAAGTCGATTTAATTCCGGGGAGGGAAGGGTTTTTAATTCTAACAATTACTGTGTTTTAAGTCCGACAAATAATCGGCGCGCAGTTTGTTGGAAAAATTATATGTATATATATAGACATATATGTATGCAGTAACTAATATAAGGCTGTCAAAAACCTAAGCTTGGATCGCATGGCTTTTGATTCTAATTGATTATAAATAAAAGTTTATTATTTAATGTAATAGTAATAAAATATGATCATAAATATAACCGATTTTATTATTTATTTTTGTACATATTAATTCGTTTCAACTCTATTAACTATAGGTATTATATAATGCTTATCATTATTGTTAAGTTTCTATAGATTTTAGTTTTCGTGTTTAAATAAGCGCGCGTTTCTAGTGATTATATCCAATAAGATTCGTTTGGGCGCAGCGGCGCTCACAATCACACGCGCACGTCTCGTAGTAGTATTTTTCGGTTGGTATTCTTTTTAGCGCGCGCCAAAAACTCCCGCCTATCACTCTCGTCTTTTGGTAGCGTTCGTGAGAAGACATGCGAGCGTGACAATGTAATACTGATTCCAATTATATTAGATTAAAGTTGTGTTCTTTATTATTCAGCTAATTCCAATTTCTCGACACCTGCGCACATCCAAGATAATATCCAACAATTATAAGGAATTACAATACATTTTCGTAAAATATCTGTGGCGTAACATGCTACAATAACATTCGTTAAATGCTGTACATGAATAACTAGAAGATGATACATCTCCCTTTCTACATATTGTATCTTTAATGGGTCGATAGGACTGCCCTATAATAACGTACTTTTTTATATTATTAATGCCAACCGTAGTTGAAATACGCAATATATATTTAATGCTTATAAAACCGCCATTATTTAATTTAACAACGCTATTATTACGCTTATACATTCTAAAATAATTGCATGTATGATAAAGAATATTTTTGTAAATAAATCGTTGAAAACTGTAGATATTATCACGCTCAATGTTCTGATTCATCAGTCTCTGAATTGCAGTGATTTGGATTAAATCCAAATGGATTTTTTTCCCCGCTCCGAAAATACGTAAATACCCTTCATCTGATACACTTTTATTACTGCTTAATTTTATTTTTCCGACCAAACAATTGTACAAATGTTTACCTTCTACACTACAATTTTTTTTTTTTTTTGAAAATAATACAATTCTTAATTTGTTGCAATCGTAGGTAGGAGTTGCATACTTGTAGTATTACAAATTGAGAGTTATAAATCATATTTCGAAGCACACGATTGTAACTTTCAAATGGAAAAGCGGACCATGCCCAAATAGCGCCAAACAATTTCACACTTTTTGGTATATGAAGTAGTAAGTGCACATTAAACTTCATATGTTGTTTTCCGTACAACGTTTCCACTTCAAACACAAACTTTCTTAATGCTTTTTCGGCATCTTCAAAATCTTTTTTGGTTATTTCATCTGATAAAAATTTATGCATATTAAAAACAAGCAATGAAATGTTTAAAGTACCTAATAGGCAGTAATCCTTGTAAGCACGGTAACGAGTAATACAGTAGTAAATTTTTCCACTCTGATGCTTTATATAATTTCATATTTTCAAGCGCGCGTGGTGTCCGAGTTAATTCACAAGGAGGACAAATATTTAGCAGTCGATCATTGAAAATCGATTTTTTCGAACCTATATACCATGTGCACTGGTTATATTTAGGATCAAACCACATAAAGAAAAAATATTTTACAACTCCAAGTAATACTGCATGCATGTATTCAGGAGGAAATGAAACTACAATATTAAAGGTTGTCAATAACATTAATAATGAGACTCCTTTAACTCCATTAATAGAAATATTTTTTACAACAGCCTGCTCAGCATCTCTATGATGTTGTTCCCTCGTTCTTGCAATGCCTTCATTTCCACAGTAAACACGTGCATAACCATTTCCCACTTTAACGTGCTGCCCTAGATGCAAACAAAGTGAGCATTCAAATTTTCCATTAAATTGAGCTATATTCTGTAAAGAACATCTGGCTATAGAATCCACTGGAGAAAGGATTGCATGCACTTTAATATTTACAGCTTCATTCAAGTTAGGTGGCAAACAGTCAATTCCGTGTTTATGTAAATCTCGTAACTCATCAACAAATAGTTTTAAAAAAATATCTACAACAGGTTTTATAGATCCACACCATAAACCAGCAAGTAGAATATTATCTTTACGAACCCGGTAAGAAAGTTCATTAATCGCTATTAGAATGGGGCACATTGATACTTTTGATGATTTAAAAGTATTAACACCATCAGTGTTCCATTGTAAGGTTATATCGAAATCAGATATAACTTGATTTTCAACCATCGAGCGATACACTTTCCTACTTGTAACATCTGATAATAAATTATTATCATTACAAGTTCTTTGTAATTTATGGAAGACACTATTCGACAGTAACTGTCGTAACTGTTCCTTAATTGGAATGTATACGAAAAAATTTCCATTCCGTTTAAGAACTGATTCTGTATTACGACAATGACAATTTGGACAATTTATACTTTGTCTTCCTTTAAAATATCTAATAAAGAAATACATCCTGTACAATAATAACATGTAACAAGTTGTGCGATGTCGAGAAACTTTTTTAAAAATAAATACTTTGAAGAAAGATAGTGGTTCGGGAAAGTGTCAATTAATTAAATCTATGAGATCTTCCAATGCAGTCCCACTTGCTCCATGCCGAATTATGTAACTCATTAAGAGTAGATCGCTTTCTTCCTTTGTTAGAGGGCAATTTGGATATATTGGTCTTCTAGCCTGACAACATAATAAAATACAAGACATTATTATATAATTCAATTTGTGACATATTGCCTATTCAGGGTTTACATTTGAAATTTGAAAATAGGTAAATATTTCATAATTTTCTTTTTATTATGCTGTTTTTCGTCATATTGACATCATTTTTATTAGGCTGTTTTCACTTGCAGTCGAGTGGTTTTTTCATTTTAACATATTATGGACAGCACACTGTATAACAACTAGATTACGAACCTTATCTTCTATCGCAGGTTCTGGATCATTATTATTATGATTAGGTTATTCAATAGGTTCTGGCACGTTAACATTTTCAATAATGGCTTCATCATTGACATCTTCATCAACATCATAATCATCGTTAGTACCACTATCATTTGAGGAAGTCTGTATACATATAAAATTTTATATGATAATACATATAGATACATAATAACATTAAAACATATATATGTGCATGTCGACATTGCCCAGGCAATAACGGACATTGCTCGAGCAATATATATATATATATATACATATATATATACTTATTATATAAGTATATATATATATATACTTATTATATAACTTAATTGAATATAGTATATTCATGGTTTTATTTGTACAATCAAACACTATAATAATACACCAAAATATAAACTAGCTATATAATTGCCATCAAAGTTAAAGATTAATTATTTAAATCTTTGCGTTTAGTTATATATTTATATACATACGAAAGATTAATGCTCTAAATATTTATTTAAGCCTCTATTATTTAGAAACTTTTATAATAAATACTTATATATTTTGTAAATATATTATAACCGCAATCATATATTTGTTATAATAATTATAATCACGAAAAGAAACAAAAACTTTTGCGTAATATAAAAATATTTGTTTAGGGCGGAAGAGCTGTTAAGAATAAGAGATAGGACAGGAAGCCAAGGATCAATTATAGAATACGTAAGGAAAAAAGGAAGGGAGGAAGAAAAAGAAATATCAGAAAAAGCCGAAAAAGAAAGACTAGCAAATTTTAGTAAAGAAAAAAGAGTGATAAGATCGCCGCCAAACAAGATAAAAAGAGAGGAAAGGAAAGAAGAAGGCATGGAGGCGGAAAAAATGCTGAAAGAGATTTTAGCGAAAATGGATGAACAAGAGAGAGAAAGAAAGAAGGATAAAGAAGAGATAATGAAAGAGATACACGACCTGAGGGAGAATTATAAAATGAGAGAAATGCTTTGGGAAGAGCAAAAAGTGAGTTTAGAAAATAGAATAAAACAGTTAGAGAAGAAAGTAGAAAAAATGGAGAATAACGGAGATAAAAAGTTGGAGAGCAGTGAACTAATGAAAAAAATGAAGGAGATGGAAAGAAACTCTGAATTAGCCGAAAGGAGAAGAAGGAAAAGTAATATAATTATAAAAGAAATGAAAGTAGAAAATGGAGGTGACAGAAAAGAGAAGATGGAGAAATTCCTTGAAGAAAAAATTACCGAAAAAAAAGGTGGAAGTGGACGAAATGCAGGTAATTGGCCGGGGAGAATACAAAATGACGCTAGTCAGATTTAGATGGAAGGATAAAAAAGAAATAATGGCAAAAAGGAAGGAGATAGGAAAAGCAAGCAAGAAAGATATTTATGGATGACGATCTGACGGCAACAGAGTGGCGGATAAAAAAGCATCTATGGAGTGTAGTAAAAGCAGAGAGAGAAAAGGGGAAGAAAGCAATGGTAGGATATCAAAGAATATGAATTGACAATTGCGAAAGGAAATGGAATGAAAGCACCGAAATGCTAGAAAGCAGAGATATTTTTCCGACAGAGTAGAAAAGAGAGAGGACAGGGAGAAGGAGATAGGGAGAGTGAGAGAGGAGAGAGAAGAGGAAAATAAGGCGGAAAAAGGAAGAGGATTAAGGATATGCTTTTGGATCGTGGCGGGACTAATTAATAAATGTGATAAAACATGGGATTATTTGGAGAATTTTGACGTAATAGGACTAGTAGAAACATGGACGGAGGAAGATAAATAGAGGAAGGTTAAAAATAAATTGTCCAGCTTTATTTGGAATTGTGTACCAGTGAAAAGGGAACACAGGAAAGGAAAGGCAAAAGGAGAGATAATAACAGCAGTCAACAAGAATTTGAAACTTATAGAGGTTAGGGAGATTAGCGACGAAGTGGTAGAAAGCAGACTAGAGTATAATGGAAACAAATGGAGAATAAACACGTTGTACAGTCAAAAGATGGAAGATACGATGGAAACACTAAGGGAAAAGGTACAAGAAGAGAATGAAGAATGGTTGCTTAGTAGAAGGTAATTTCAACGCGAGGACGGGAAGCAAAGAAGTACCGATAAATAAGGAGGAAGAAAAAGAAAAGAGGAGCAAGACCAGAAAGTCAGTAGATAAAGTTGTAAATAGAGAGGGACGTATATTAATAGATAAAATAGAAGAAAAAGGATGGGCAATATTATGATAAATGGGAGTTTCGGAAGGGAAGGCGGATGGACTTATATAGGAGACTTGGGATCATCGGTTATAGACTATGTCGTAGGGAATGACAGAGCAGGAGAAGAAATAAATATGGTGGAAGAAGGAATCGGATCATGTTCCGCTGGAGGTGGAGTTGACAGGACCACGGGTGATGGAGACAGGAAGAAGGAAGAAAGAAATGGAATTAGAGAGAAGCGACTGGACAGAAGAAGGGAAGAGAGAATATCATGAGAAATGTGAAGGATGGTCAAGTACACAAATAGATACAGAAGATATCTGGAAGAAGATGAAAGAAAAAGTAAAGAGCGCTATCACGAAGCAGATGAAAAGAATAATACCATGGAGATTAGGAAAAAAAGAATGGTATAATAAAGAATGGAAGGAAAGGAAAAGAAGATTGAGGCGACTGATGAGGGATTGGAAGAAAGGAAGGATCGGAAAAGAAGAGTATGTGAGGGAAAGAAAGGAGCACAAGGAATGATGTAAGGAGCAGAAGGGGAGGCACGAAAGAGAGGAAGAAGAAAAGATAAGGAACATTAAAAACGAAGCGGAAGCTTGGAAGTATATAAATAAATACAGGAAAAAGAAAACTGAGGGGATAAACAAGGAGATACAAATGGACGAGTGGAGAGACAACTTCATAGAATGGAAATGTTAGGAGGGACAAAGGAAAGAGTGGTGCTAGACATAGAAGACGAGGGGAAGAAGATGGTACGAGAGTGGAGGTAACAAAGGGAGTCGGAGAAATATCGAGGGAAAAGGTGATTGAAGTAATAAGGAAACTGAAGATGGGAAAGGCAACAGGAGAGGACGGGATTGAGAACGAGGCGTGAAGATTTATGCAAAAGGATGTAGGTGAAGAATTTCTGAAGTTAATCAACAGAATCTGAAAAGGAGAGGGCATACCGGGAGATTGGAATAAAGATATGATTAGTCCAATACATAAAAGAGGAAAAAGAGACGACCCAAAAAATTACCGAGGAGTTACTTCAATGAATACGGAGTACAAAATATATGCAAGTATCTTAAATGCGAGGTTGGAGAAAGAGGTGGAGTCTAAGTTAAGGGAAGGGCAATTCGGGTTTAGAAGAAACAGAGGAACGATGGATGCAGTATACACGGTAAATTATGTAGCAAATAAGGAGCTGAGTAAGAAAGGTGGAAAGATTTTTGCATTCTTTGTGGACCTTAAGGCAGCTTTCGATAAAGCGGATAGAAGAAAATTGAATAAAATAATGAGGATGATAGGAATTGAAGATAACTTGAGACGAAGAATAATGGAGACATACAAAGAAACGAAAAACGTAGTGAAGATAAGAGATAAGAATACAGAGGAATTTTGGACAGAAAAGGGACTAAGACAAGGATGCCCGTTGAGCTCGAATTTATTCAATTTATACATCATGGATTTAGAGGAAAGAATGGAAAAAGGGCAAGCAAGAGGCCTTGTGATAGAGAAAGAAAAATTCTGGACAATTTCATACGCAGATGATGTAGTGTTAATGGCGACGAGAAGCGGAATTGAAGGAAATGATGAGGAGGTTCAAGAGGTATTTGGAAGGGAAGGGTTCGAGTTTGAGTCCAGAAAAATAAAAAATAATGGTGTTCGAGAAAGCGAGAGAAAGAAGGAAGAAAAGGGAATGGCAGTGGAGAGAGGAAGAAATAGAGGAGATCAAAGAAATAAAGTATCTGGAATATATACTACAGAAAAATGAGGGAGCGGAGAATCATATAAAAGATAGGATAAAGAAGGCTACAATAGCGATGAAGAAGACATGGAGCATAGGAGAGAGAATATTTAAAGAAGATTTTAGAAGCAGATTAGATGTAATAAAAAGAAAGTTTAAATTAAATAGATTTTAGAATTGAGTAGAAGAACCCCGAATTATATAATATCAGAAGAAGCCAGAATAAAGGAGATAAAAATGAGAGCAATAAGGAGAGCTGTGAGGTATGAAAAGAAGGCGAGACAGTCAGAGAAGAAAATAGTTCAAGCATGTATAAAGGATCTAGAAAAAAGCAGACTAAGGAAAAAAGAAAGTAATTGGGAGAAAAAGAGAAGAGAACTGATAGAGAGGGCAGGAATGGAAAAGGAGCAGCAGAGGAGAGAAATGGAAGCAGAGGACCGAGAGGCGGTGGAGAATCTCGTAAAGAGAAGGAAAAGGATGAAAAGGAAGAGAGACAGATAAAGATAAACAAGTCAAGATACAATAGTAACTATAAAGAGATTTTAACAGAGGAGTTACCAAAGTATTTACTAGGAAAGAAGAAGAAAAAGGATATAATGTTGATAGCCAGATACACATGCGGGAGTGAGGAGAAAGGCAGCAAACATTGAAAAGAGGAAGAGGATAGAAAATGCAGAATATGCCAAAAAGAAGAGGAGAACATAGAACATATACTAAAAAAATGTAAAGCGACAAAAAGTAAGATACAGTTAAAAGAATTTTTAGGGGAGGAAGGAAAAGGACTAGAAGTAATGAAATGGATAGAAAAGGTTAGAAAAAAAGCGGAGAAAAGAGAGGAAATGGAGGAAGAAGAGTAGGAAGAGAAATTTAAGGACAGTTAGAAGGTTGAATTAGTTTTGGAGTTAGTTAGGATGATCTAAGTAATATATAATGTATATGTATGTAAATGAGAAATGTTTGTAAACTATGTTATGCGTTTGTAAATTTATGTAAAGGTTGACGGAAGTCATCCTAAGCCGCAAGGCAAGGATTAAATAAAATTATTATTAATAACTAAGTAAGGCTCTGTAATGTAAAAGAAAAACCTTAAACGGGCAATAAGAGCACAAGCGTGTCGTTAAAACGCTAAACTTTATTATCAACAGTCACAAATACCGAAGTCAATTAACGAACGAACGTTTCGACCCTTCTTTGGGGTCCTCCTCAGCGTATATCATACATATAAAAATTATCGTCGCAAACATACATACAGATTCTACCGCCGTAAACAACAAATCATCGCTGGTCAGTTAGATGTGCACTCCGACGCGTTCCAGAAAATCGTCGCATAGAAGTTTCCTGGTTGGAGCGCCAGGAAACTTTCAAACGGATGTACTGTCTTTGTCATTGTGACGCAACGCCTGTGGACAAATTCGGAGTGCCGTCCTCTCTCAATATTCATACAGGAACACAATAGATAACAAATAGATAACAAAATGGTATCAAACAGGTAACTCACAGGTTTGACATACTGGACGATAGTCAAGTCGCAACGCCACGTCAATCAATTGCAGGAATCGGTGTGTCTCAGAGGACGCTCACACAGAGAATGGCACGCTTGTCTTATACAAGATATTGACGGTATAAAGAAGCGGGGGGAAAGGTCACGCATAATATAAAACAAGTCCGCGTAACAACAATAATTCTAAACTTTAACAAGTCCCTCGATAGCACTAATATATATCTCTGGTATATCTTCAGTATCCGTCTGCAAATTTAAACCTTCTCTTTGCCTTTTTATGTAAATCATTTCTGATATTAAGCGTTTACTAAGGGACGGTTCTCGGTCTAATATTTCCACGTCTTTCCAGTTAAAGTCATGGTTATACTGCAATCTGTGGTCTGTTAAGACCGAATGGCCCGCACCACTCCTTCTGATATGCGAGTTATGTTCTTTAACTCTCGTTAAAAGTTGTCTCCCTGTTTGACCGACATAGGAAGCCTCACAATCATTACAATTAATTTTATATACGACATTCCTATGCGATAATCCAGGGAGAGTATCCTTGTGACCTCTGATAAGTCTGTTCAATTTATTGAGACTGAAATACGAGAGCTTTATATTAAGACCCTTGGTTAAATTTTTATATTTCTCAGACAACCCAGGAACATATGGTATCGTGAAATATGGAACTTTATCAATGCTCTCATCGTTCGTAACGTGTCTATCATTAAGTAAAAATCTCAAGCGCTCATGTATCGTCCCAAAAATAAATTCCAACGGATAACAATTATTTATCAGAATTTGGATCAAAAATCTTATGTTTTTTTTATGAAATCTCGGGTGCGACAGCTTAAATACTCGATCGATCAAACCGATGACCGTGCCCTTTTTCTGACAGAGTGGATGTTGAGATAGGAAATTTAAATATCTTCCGGAAAAAGTGGGTTTGTGGAACCAGTCAAATTGCAAATGCTCGCCTATGTGAAACATGGTGACCTCTAGAAAGTTCAATTTGCCACCCACACCGATCTCCATAGTAAATTGCAATCTGGGGTGAAATGAGTTGAATGTTTCTAATACGTGAGTGCATTCATTAAGAGGCACTGCCATTGCAATATCGTCCACGTATCTCTTATAAAAAGAAGGAGCAAACTTCAAGCTTCCGAGCGCTCTAACCTCCAGGTCTTGCATCACGATATCCGCCCCTATGGGTGACAAAGGGGAACCCATAGGAGAACCGAAGGTTTGCTGATATATAACTCCATTAAAAACAAAAAAGGTCGATTCTAATACCAATCTTACTGCCTGGAGAAATTCAGACTCAGGAATCGAGCAACTCTCAGAAATATAATTCCACCTTTTTGCAATGCTGTCAATAATCATTTCCGTAGGCACGTTAGTAAAAAGAGAGATAACGTCAAGAGACATTAAAGTATAATCTTCTCTAATATGGGTTTCGGATAGCTTTTTGACCAAGTCAAAGCTATTCGAGACATGACTATCTCCTTTAGGAAAGCTATTAAACATGACTTTATGGAGAAAAGCAGCCAAATTGTACAACGGGCTATCCACACATGAAACGATGATTCTAAGAGGATAATTAATTTTGTGGATCTTCGGGAGTCCGTACGCTCTCGGCAAATTTCCGTCACTACAATAAAGCCATCTGTACAATGAGTCTGAGATGAATTCTGATTTCCTCCATCTAGTCAAAAGCTCTCGAACCCGAGTTGTTACCTTTCTAATTGGATCTCTAGAGACAATCTTGTAAGTATCTGTATCTCCTAAGAGTTCCTCCATACTGGCTATATATTTATCTTTGTCCATTGCTACCGTGACGTTACCTTTGTCAGCCCTCGTTAAGATTAAATTAGAATTATCATCCATAAAATTCTTTGTAGCAATCGACAAATGTTTCATCGCGTTATCGTGTGCACTTTCTTGCACCTCGTAACCCCGAAGATTATTCACCATATTCGAGAATCGATTTCTAAGAGTTGTATGAGTTCTAATAGGAAACTTCTTTATATTATTTTCAATGTTTTTAATAAATTCGATCGTTACTTTGTCTTTCTTTAATCCCGGAAGGCTAAAATTCTCACCGAGTTGTAGAAGACCTTGAATATCTGTAGGGATATCAGTGGATGACAAATTAACGAACCACCCATCATTTAGTTGCATTAAGGAAGGTATCGGCGTGATAAAAGATTTCGGATCTATGTTTATTGCAATTTTTTGGCCAGAGCGGTTGAAAAAAGGCACTAACGAGTATGTTACATTATTATTGTCAAGGACCCGGTGTTCCGATGACATGTTACAAAAATATTCAATCGGTCTAATGTTTTTCCGTTGGTTCATATGTTTGAAATATAAAAATTCAAATTTCTTGTTTATCTTATTTTTTGAGCTCTCACAGAAGGAATGCAGTGACCACTCTTGTCTATTAAAGAAGGAGTTGCAGACGGATGCTGGAATACACCGATACATCGCTCCAGAAACTCTATAAACCTGCGTACGTGCAAAGCGAGCATGACAGTATGCATCCCTAAGTTCGATTTGCAATAATTGTTTAAAAAACTTGGATTTACAATGCTTAAATTTCGCTATTGCTCTGAAGTTAAACAGAGTGTTTTCAAAATATGCAAAGATGTTTCCTATATGAGAAGGTATAATGCTATGTTTCCTGCACTCCCGTTTTAAAATTATTATTATTATCATATTAAAAATATTTGTTTAAAAAATGAAAACAAAAACTGATACATATAAATAAAATTTTCGAAAAACTAATAAAAAAAATTCGTGTTACAAAATGGTTCCGAGCAAAAAAAAAATCTGTTACACATCATCTCGCCGAGCATTTGCCAAGTGTTGTCGTTTAATTTCACCAAGTCTTGTGGACATAGAAATTTTGATATCCCGGATTGATTTAAAGCCATCCTTTTTTTTGGCGCGCGATTTGGCAAAATCTGTCAAAAATTATAATACCCATGGATTAAAAATAAAGTGGATAAAAAATGTAGGATTCAGTAACAAAAATAACAAATATTTTAATTACCAATGATTGCATTCTTTCTTAATTTATCCAGACAAATGACGTTTTGGTTTTGGCGTTCTTTTCCCTGAGCACGTGCAGTTTGTCCAGTAAGTGTAGCGTTTAAAAGAACTTCAGGTTTGAAGACTCCTTCCATAAGACGACATGCAAGATGAGAAATTCTACATGATGCTCCAATTGAGTTATAGAGCGTCTTCAATTTGCAATATACCCCGTGTTTAAGTAATACCACCTAAAAAGTAAATTATAAAAATACATTATAAGGATAACAGTTTTATATATTATAATTATATTATATTATTAATCATATCATATTATAAATCAAGAGACACGGCAGTGTCTCGCGCCAAGTACACGCGGAGCGAGACCGACCGTGACTCTTTTACGCGACGTGACGAGTTGCGAGTACACGAGATGTTGAGATTTTGATTAACGAGTGAACGGATCAAGTTCTAAGTAGGCTTGATCGATAGCTTGGGGTCGAATTAGGGGGGGGGGGGGGTTCTCTTATAATATTCCGCTACGTGCCCTACGGGCGGAAATATTGCGACGCAAAGTCCAAATGTGAATTTTTTTTTAAGATACGTCGTTAAGATACGTCGACATAACATAATATAACATATATATAACAGAGAAATGTCACTTTCACTTTTTCGACACTGGCGGCTAGCGGCGTTAGTATCGCAGTGCAGTGCAGACAGTGCGTTTAGCGCGCTGTCAGTCAGTTCATAAGTCATCAGTTATAATAGTCCGGGAGCCAGCTGCCATTTTAAGTAAATTATTTTAAGAAATCTGAGATTTTCGGCTAGTGTTCAATTCGGTCTGCTAATAAACAAAGTGAACGTCAGCTTCCATGGTAGCGGTGGGTGTTGCCGCGGCATCTACCCACACACGTATAATTATAATAAAAATAAACCGACATAAAGAAAGCTGAGACTTTGTTTGTACGTTTATTATGATCTAAATAAACGGAAAATAATAGTCAGCTGACTTCATGGTGGGGAGTTGTACGTCAGCTTCTCGCCCAAACATGCGAAAAATATGCGCTGAGTAAACTTATACTAAGAAAGCTGAAATTTGGGGAAGTTATAGTCAACTTTAACAATTTCACGAAAATAATTGTCCGCTGAGTTTTTCGCGGTGGAAAAGTGCTCAGCTGACGACTGAAAGATACGGCGCATCGCTATGCGCGCGGGCGCGTGGCATCCTTCACTGCATCAGCTGAGCACTTTTTCACTGCGAAAACCTCAGCGGATAATTATTTTCGTGTAACTGTTACAGATAACTATAAGTTTACAAAGTTTTAGCCTTCTTGGTTTCAGATAACTTGATTTTTATTAATAAAACGGTGCGTATATGCGCGCGGGCGCGTTGCGCCTATCTTACGGCATCAGCTGCTTCTCTCTCACGCTAAATTATGCTATTGATTATATTCAAATATGTAATTATATTTAACGCATTTATTGACAAAAATAATTTTTTATTTACGTTTTTTTTTTAAATACGTATGAGGTATGAGACATTTACTCTTCAGTTTTCCTCATCATCGCCCTCAAACTCTTGCTCGCTTTCGTGGTCGCTGTAATCCATATCGATCATCGGCGTCCAATCCTCATCATCTGTAAGCAAATATAATAAATAATATATTATTACATAAAAAATAATCGCATAAAAAAGTTTTAGTTTTATAATTTTAATACATATATAATATAATAATATAATAACGCAAGAGCAAAATTCTGAAATTAATTAAAATATTATTTATAAAAAGTGTTCACGTTATAATAAAAAATTGTTTTAATTGTTTCTAAACTGTATTTTTAAATTAAAAACAAAACTAATCTAAAAATTACACTTGAATAAAGAAATAGTGAAGTATAATTCTGACCTGCAGTACTTTCTTTTTCTTCCTCGATGGTAATATCGCCAAGAGAAGGGGGTAGCTGATCGCGGTCGAACCATTTGAACAAAAATTTGTTGTCCTCTTCTCTCCAGCCGTAATCAGTCGGGTGCAATTCAGTTGGAACAGCAAGATGTGCATCATGGGCCCAA